TTATTTATTAATATTAACTTAATATTTATTTATCACTGATAGTAATAAATAATAATCAATATTAATGAGAGTTATAATAATCAATATTAATGAGAGTTATAATTGAAAACATACCAAAAAACTTCTCATAAACTAATTCAACTAACATTTCAATAAGTTATCTTATGTTCATCCAAACACGTACTTAAAAAATGCTCAAATATAACAAAAGCGGACTTTTACTATTTGGTTGATTATAACGTATATGGACTACTTTTTGTGGCTAAAATTTTGAACACTCGTCTTTAAAAACGTGCATAAAGCTAAAATGCAGTATAAATTGTACATTACCCCGTATGGTTGTACTATGAAAGTATTGAGTGTAATCAATTTAACCCTGAAATTACAGAGGCATTATAACACTAGATATGATTAACCGTGGGGGATTTAACTTATTACTTTAAATTAACTTAAATCTTATTCATAAATCCGTTACTAAGATTTTTTATTTAAAAAAAAATAATATTGAAAAACATTGTAATAATTGATTTTCGATTATAAAAAGGACGCAATCGTTCTTATTTTTCTTACCATAAGTCCCTGGATACTGCTTGTAGCGTTCAACGTCAATTCTACGACCTTTCTTTTCTCTAACTACAAGCCCTAGAGATTGTCTGCAGCTTTCAACGTAGATTCAACGACGTTCATTTAAGGTAGTTCATATCAGGCTTATCTATGCGATCCGATTATAATTCTCTACTGAATGCTTCTCGATTCTAATTCTTTGTGGTTCAAGTTATTCAGCAGAAAAATGGACAAGATGCTTGTGGTTCTCGTAGATGGCACAATCAAGATGGCTCCGTACTGGGACACCATCAGAACATTTATCCTCGATACCATCATCAGGTAAATGTTTCTATTCAAGTTGTTTTACAATCAGATCAATTAATCACATTCGTAGAATCCTAATTTGCCTATCATATCTAATCATGCATATGAACTCGATCAGATTTATCTTTCATTACTTTTCTTTACAGGAAATTTTGTAACAGCTTTTCGTCTTTTACGGTAAAGTCAAAACGCAGAAGTACTTTGATTGACGTTGAACCCTTTACAGGAAGAGGTCCTATTAACCTTTTTTTTGTAAAATATTAACAGGATTCATCAGACCAAAAATATTATCTCCAACTTATAGTGTTCCGTGCTCGCAATGATTCTGATGGTACGTATAAATTTCATTTTGTAGCAATCGAATTATCGTTTAATTTAATCCCCTTTGGTATGGCAGGGACAGCATTGCGGGGTTATTTTGCCTTCGACATGGATACGTTCATGTCCGCACTATCGAGAATAACCTTCACTGACCAAGGTATAAAACTACCCTTACTTGAAGAAGGGATTAGTGCTGCACTCAAGGTAAAAACGCTCTCGACTTGATCTTATTTCCGTTTGTTCGATTAGTGTTACCAATTACTCGGTTTTCCATCAAATGTTTCTTTGAAGTATATAATAATACTCTTACATATGACCTCTTGAGAGGCAGGGTTCTACAGTGGCTCATGTACTGCTAAACCAATAACCCTTTGTTTTTTTAATCAGATATTCCCTGTAACTCAAGGACGAACAGAAGCAGAGTTGGCGGGGACACGACAATGTGTTCTCGTCACTGCAAATCAACTATCTAAATGGCCCAAATACTGTATGGTTCCAAACAACTTAACGATAGATATCGGTGGAGCCATGGGTAAAATAGTGGAGCGTATTATGATCGATGCTGAACATTTGGCTGCTTTGTTCGCAAAAGTAGGGTCATGTTATTGTAGTCGATTCATCGATTTTCTGTGTCTTACAGACGGTCTCAATAAGCTTACAATGTTGTTTGTGCAACCAGACGTTTATATCGTTCTCTGTTATCTGCCCTAAAGACATCACAATGCTAAGGAAGCTCCATAGTGCGGTAAATTTATCGTAAACATCTTTAGATTTTTGGTAAAAGATTTCGTATCTTCCACGACATAATTTGATCCATCTTGTTGCAGGGCAACGGCTTCTATCAGATTCCAGGATATTTTCCAATAGAGTTCAAGCATCCCGAGTTTCTTATTTTAATATCGGAGAAGTTTCCTGAGGCTCGAGAGGCCCTCCGAAATCTCCAAGAGAATCGTGAAACGCTCCCAGAATACGATTCTCTATCTTCCCTGGCACGAAACTTTTCCGGTAACTTTTATCCCCCCTTTCGCTTTTCTAAATGTCAAGTGCCTCCACCTTATGATCACCCCTTATTTCACGTCAACAGTCTGCCAGCTGCACATGATGATGCGGGAAGTCATTTCCGAACCCTCGGTACAACAGCAGAGACCCGAGAACTCGGGTGAAGACAGCGTGGAAAAACCTTTTGAGATGAACATGGCCGATGATGATTGTAACTTCACAACGCAGAAAAACCACGACCCCGTGACTGTTATTGAAGAAATGGTAAACGAACTTTTACGCCTTACAAAGTTATTCTCATCGCTACACATCAAAAACATCAACCTTTGAATTTTCTTCTTCAGGACTTATGGCCCTATGAAGAAGTGGGGTCCAATTTTGAGACGGGCTCGACCGCACCTAGCCGCCAGATTGTGACACCCAACATTGGACGTTCTCACCGAGATGGTAGATTAGATAAGATTAAGGAGAAGCGTATTGTCATCTCTGCTGTTCCGTCAGAAAGCGCCTGTTCTTTCAACCAACCTAACCGAAGAATGAAATCAATCCCTAAGAAGACTAATACAACTGCTAGTGCTAGTGTGTTCCACAACCGTGAATCACCCGATTCATCCTAGAGTTGAAACTGGGAAACCAGAGATTCAGCATGGCTTAATCTCGGTCAACATAGAGTTACTTTGGTTTCATCAGTAGGAAACATGAATGGCAGCGTAAAGGTTGGTTCAGCCACCAACACCCCAATGGCTAGCTGTGGTGCAGATACTGGTTTGGTCGTGGTGCTTATGTCTGAAGCGGTCAAACTCGGCAAACCCACTGTTCTTTGAAGCAGCACCAAGACCTGGCTCAAATATTGGTGCCATTGATAGTCTTAGAAGTCGATGAAGGACCAGTGAGAGTTGTTTTCTGAATTAGGCTGAATTTGATGTTAATTTGCATGCTAAAACTCAACAATAAATTGGTTCTGTTTTTGTGTTCTATATACAGTCTTCAATAATTCCATCTCCACGAATCTTAACCTGTGTTTGATGTTCTGAATCTTTAGTTTCAGATCCGTCAAAACTTGGAAGAAAGTTATCCTGGGAATGTTATCGGCTCGATCTATTTTGTTTAGCCTTGATTCATTAAACCAAAACCATCTTTCGGTTCAGCCTAGAAGCCGTCCACCTTATGTCATTGAACGAAAACCATCTTCCGGCTAACATAGGAGGGTCATGAACCAAAACCATCTTTCAGCTAGCCAAGAAACTGGATCATCGTGATGTCACTGAATCAAAACCATTTTATGGCTAATTAGAAGCAGGTTCATCTTTTGTCAATGAACGAAAACCACCTATTGGCTTAAGCCCAGAAGCAGGGTCCGTAGAGAAGCATTGAACCAAAACCACTTTCCGACTAGCCTAGTAGGAGGGTCCCTAGAGTCATTGAACCCAAAACCACCATGTAGCTACCTTAGAAGCAGGGTAACTTTCTAATGTCATTGAACGAAAATCATTTTATGGCTAACTAGAAGCAGGTTTATCTTTTGTCACTGAACAAAAACCATCTATCGGCTAAAACCTAGAAGCAGGATCCTTAAGAGTGATTGAACCAAAACCGCCTTCTGGTTAGCCTAGAAGCAGGGTTGCCTTATTATGTCTTTGAGCCCAAATCCACCTTGTCGCTAGCTGTCTTAGAGGCAGGGTAACCCCTAATGTCATTTAACCAAAACCATATTTTGGCTATCCTGAAAGTGGGGACTGAAAGGGCCTTTAGTTGCTCAACATCATCCAGATAAAAGCAAAACCATCTTTTAGCTAGCCTAGAAGCAGGGTCATCTTATGCCATTGAACCAAAACCATCTCCAGCTAGCCTAGAAGCAGGGACACCCTAAATCAATAAACCAAAACCATCTTTTGACTAGTCTAACAGTACATAAACAACCATCTTTAGGTTAACCAATCTCCCTCCATGGTATCAGTGAATGAGTCTCATCCATTAGACAACATGATCCATGAAAACCACAAATCATACCGCATCCCCAAAACAAAGATATCTGAGAACAATCATCGGAGAAAACTATGCCAAAAGGATTGTGTTTGCAGAAATAAATAATGATAAAAGCTCAAATTATAGCAATAAAATGGAAAAAGAGATGGCACAGATTTCTAAGGTATCAAGAAACTCAGACAAATATTTCTATAGTAACATGATATTCCCATGGGATTACTGTCAAGGTGCAGGTTAAAATGAAAACCGTATATACTTTGAGAACAAGTTGAATAACCCTAAAATATTCATTAACATTATTCATCATGAATATCCATCACGATACATGAATAGTTGGTTTTCAGTCTCTCAAAATATTTATGTTTCTTATTTGAACCTGCCCATACACTATTAACTATAAGATGTAATTGACATTATCTTCATCCAGAACTATAAGATTCACATTTCACAAAGCACACTTACTCTCAACCTTAAAAAATGTAAGGGAGAACTGGACCTGATCTATATACAAAACGACCTCTAACTTCTAGATATACGAAAATTACAACTTGACACATTTTCTAGAGTGCAATGTTTTGCATTTCATACACTTGATCTATCATCTTATACATCACAACATTAAGGTAATAAACATGATCAAGAACTGACCTCTTGCTTAGCAATCACCTCTCCATCTTTCTTCTTCAATCTCAAGGATTTGTGCCTTGTACTAGGTGCCACGAGGAGCAATCGAGACATCACATATCCCAAGAGTTCTTCCCGGTGGGAGAATGTGAAATCCAAATGAGCATACTCGAATTCATTGTAAGATACATCCACACCCGCATCTCTCATTAGCCTGTAATGTTTTCTCACCATTGAAGGACGGATTACCTTGTCTTTCCTTCCTGCAACAACATCCACTGGAATATCAATGAGCCCATAGTATTCCCCCAAATCCAATGGTTCTGGTGAACCATACATTTGCATGTTAGCTGAAGGATTCCCATAGTCAAACATCCTGAATTTCCGTGCATGCTTCATCTGTGCCAAATGAAGTGCTATCCCAAAAGACACTCCAGGCATGTCGTTCATGTTGTAGTGTGGTAAGCCTATCACTCCGACCCAATTGGAGCTATCACCGCCGAACATATGACCGATTAGGGTCTGAACCACCCCACCAACAGCAGGATAATTATGAAAATCCCGTGCCAATTTGTTAACCAACATGCGAAAAAACCTGGTGGGTATGTAGACGCCAGGCACAAGAGGTGCCAAAACTGGAGCAAACCAAAGGAGAAAGTACTCGACTGCTGTGAAAGCAAATGTTGAGTCGTGATGAAAGCCAGCTGGTGACAAAAGGATTAATCTTGATAACCGGTGAGGCTTTTCTTCCAACCGGCGTGTTATGATGTACATGAGAATTGCAGCACCTCCCAAGCTGTGGCAGATTGCACAAAGTTTATAAGGCTGCTCGTTTGCTTCTTCTGTATCCTTGGAAAGAGATTGCAACTCTGAAGTTTTCACTTCGTGAATCTTCTCTATCATGGCTGGTATATCTTCGATCCCATGCTCATTGATGGAGTAACGCCAGTACCTACAGACAAGAAGTTCTGATCAAATTAAGGAAGTGATCATGGGGACCCACATGTATAGGATCAAACGAAATGCTTGTATAAACATACAAGTATTTATATAAAAATCTCTCCGGATTATGTAACTTTATATTTCATAGGAAAAGTTCCTGAATACAGATAGTTTCATCTTAAATGGGAAGGGTTGGGATAGCAGAAACTAGAGGAAAGGACTTACTCTCGTGAAGATATATTCTTGTCTACATGTTCTCTTGAAACTAGACCACGGAAATTACCCAGGAAAACATCATACCCTGAAAGATGAAAATTGATTTTTTAAAGAACTGTTTATATTAAAATCTGCCTGCTGGTGAAAGAATAAACATCGCAAACCTTGATCAAAAGCTGCAAAAGCTGGAGAGCCAACAACTCCATTAGACACCCAACTGGAGGGAAGTAAGAAAAGTCAAATCAACACTATAGATAGTCTTGAAAACATAAAAATGCGCGTACAGCGTATCTACATAATTGTAGAGAAACATATGTGAACATCATCCCTCATACTTCTTTGGGATTCTTCAGTGAACCTTTGATATCTTGTTCAACCAGAAATTATTTGTGATCTGGCACGCAATAAGGGTCCTTACAACTTGTAAAGAACAAAACATCCAGACCAAAAGTGCGCCACAGAGGCATCAGTCAGGTAGATTCATGCATGCCTACCTTAAAAGCTCAGATAGGCTGACATATTGGTTTAGCAAAGTGACCTGCAATATTGAAGGCCTATGCTAGACCAAGTGCATGCAGAAAGAAAGATGGTAGCATACAGGAAACCAACATGGCCCAGCATCACATGCTGATAAGCTTAAATTTATACATTTTTTTACGTCAAAGTACCCTGAAATTAATATCAATTAGATGCTTAAATAGGTCCAATTTAATTGTGAGTTGATATATAACTTCTTGGGGCTAATTAAGTTGAAAATTTTATTGTTTTTGTGGCCAAACAGCACAAAGCAGAAACTGCAGTCCAGCAGCCCAAAAGAACAAAAAAAAGGCAGTCCAAAAGCAAGCCCAAGCCCGTGTAAAAGAAAAGAAAAGAAGAGAAGAAGCAGCAGCARCCTTGGGCTGCTGCCCAAGACTAACATCGATTGAGATTTAGAGGTCGTGCAGTAGCCAAACAGGGGGAAAGACGGGAGATCGTGTTGCAGCAATCGTGGGCAGGACAGCAGGAGATCATGGGCGAGTACGAGGGGCTGTCGGTACAGAAGCAACCGAGAGAGGAAACAGCATACGGAGTCTGTCGTTTGAGAAAGAAGGGGCTGTCGATACAAAATGGATGGCAGCAAGTGTTCGAGAGRGAGGCTGTTGGATTGGAGCCTGTCTCGAGAGAAATAGAAAGGGTTCTGTTCGATTGGGGGCTGTCGCGCRAGCAATCAAGCAGCCGAGAAMGAGAAGGCGAGGCAAGAAGAGAAAAACCAAGGAGGAAGCAATTCGATTTTAGAACCGATATATAGAGGGAGGGAAATCGAGAGAGAGAACGGGAGAAGGGGCTGTTCGGTTGACAGCAGGTTATCGAGGAGAACCTGTYGAGGGCTGTAAATCGAGAGGCTGTCGGTCAAGAGAAAGGCAGCAGCCGATTGGAAGCAGCCGAGAGCAGAAAGAGGCTGTGACCAAGCGAGGACAGCAGCAGGTTGGTTAAGAAGGAGAGCAAAGGGGCTGCCATCGAGCAGCCGAGGAGAAGAAGCAGCTGTCGAGGACAGCAGGTTATCCAGGCGAGARGAAGCAGCAGCCRGGAGGAAGAAATCGGGCAGAAAAATCAAGAGAAAGACAGCAAAGGGGCTGTCCATTAAGGGCTGTAAACTAAGACGATTTTTATAGGTTTACCGCAAACTTCTTCGTTCAATTTACAGGTTAGTTTACATTTGTTTTAGACATGAGTAGCTAATCTTTTAATTTCTAGTAATGGGTATGTGATCACTTTGAATTTGGATTCGTTGAGACTCACGYCAWTTTTAATATCATTTGAAGCTATTTATGSGATTTTAGAGTTGAATGTTTATYGTTTTGAGTTAGATATTTTGAGTAGGATCCCTTATTATGTCTAATTCAATTTCGAATTGCTAGATAAACCTTTAAGTCCGTAATTGCTTTTCGGTTTATTGAAGTAGCACACGACACACAGTTGACATTTAGGTTAAATGATGATGTTGTAAGATCGTATAATCTAATCTAAACAATCGGCGTCCGATTGTCGATTAGTGTTGGTTTGTTTGACGTTAATGCAATTGGCAATTAAATTCTAAGTCCGTGACTAGGTTTGATTAGCTAATTAGAGGTTAGTCGTAGAGCGTTCAAGACTGACTATGCTTTTATAACAAACAGAATATTGACGCGTGTCGATGTTCTAACCAACTTGGTTTCTTTTGAGAAAACGGAGTGAATGAGTCGATGATATAGAATCCAAAGGATTAGTTGATTAACGCTCATTACTAGATTCCTTTTTTTCTATTGTTTAAAATTTTAATTTAATTTTTATGCTTAGATTATTTGAAATTCCAACCCCCCCCCTTTTTTATATATAGTTTTATTATTAATGAATTTGCACGAGATTACGTTTTGGACTTACGGTTAATACCGAGTCCCTGAGGAGACGACCCTACTTATCGCTATTACAAGTGTGTTTTAGAGATAATAGGCTTATTTTCATAAATTTTATTATTTGCCGGACTCGACACCCGTCACATGCATACAATGCACAGGAGTATATGAGGATCTTGTATTTTCTTATTTGGCAGAACCCTTTGAAGCTCTTAGTTCATTCATACCGGTACTTGTATCCTAATTCAACTAGGATTTCCACACCTATTATCACTATTACGTCATCTTTTAAGCAAGATATATTTGAATCCTAAAGATTCTCTACCTCCTGAATATTATAGAACTCATTTCACTTCCTACCCTTCAAAGAATTAAGTGGCATAAGTAGAAGCTAACATTGTTGCGGAATGCCTGTGGAGATGCAACCTTGAGATCTTGCCTTGGCCGAGGCTCATAGGCTTCCATCAGGTGTACCTCATCTCTGAGGCACAAGGCCTAGTAAGGTGAGACATTTATTGAAACACGGTGCATTTTGTTTTGGCCCATATTAAGCGCAAGCAAATTTTGTTTTGGGACCCTTCCTGCTTAAATGAGAATCCACAAACCTTAAAGTATCTTTTCAATTTGAAGTTTGAACAATCAGCTTCAGGTGTTCAGTCCACCTCATGTACACCTTTTCATATTTCATTTCCTCTCCACCGTCTCTTTACCTCTCATTTCTCTTTGATGGTTTAATTTATGAGCCTAGATTTATAAGACGTATGTGGTCAATCAATCGTTACTGTTCTCAGTTGATGATTCTTATATTGACGCTTATTGAAAGGTTTGTGTACAATGTTACTTGACTGTCATTTAGACGCTAGTGATAAATTGATGTTAATATTGTTAATTGATGCTTCTTTGATTGAATGTTAGTGATAACCCCTCCCTTATGTCATGCCTAGACCCCCAGTACACATTTGCGTTAGATGCACTTTGTGCCTCAAATAACAAATCAACATATAGTATTTAAGTTTTAAGTTCGTATGAAGACAATCCTTAAAAGGATTTTTCCCTGACAATTTGCTTTACGTGGCAACAAAGACAGCTATACAACCTTTGGTCCTCCACTAATCTTCATCAAATTAACTCAGACAAATCTCAACACACTTCAATTATAAATTAGCTATATATTTTATCACCTCCTACGTCCCTCAAGACCGACAAGGGGCAGTACAAGAATATTCATTTGTTTGACCTTGTCAGGCCATCGTCTATGAGCACTAAGCTGGTGTTTGGTTCGCAAAATGTTTTTGGATGAAATGAAATTTGTTAAATGAATTTAACTTTGAAGGAATTGGAATGTTGTCAGGTTTGACAACCTGTTTGGTTGGCAGACATTGGAATGGAATCTGTCTGTTTGGTTCACATAATGTAGCTTTGGAATTGGAATGAAATATTGGTAAATGACCAAGATGCCCTTTTTGAAAATTTTAATTTTTTAAAACTAAAAATACTTTAATAAAATAATTATTTAATATGGAAAACAATATAAAATAACAACCCAAATATAATCATAAGCCAAACAACGCTACTAAATCCACGGTGGTCGGCGGTGGTTCAGATGGCGGTGGTCCGCGGTGGTTTAGATGGAGGTGGTCAAAGTTCAGATGGACGGTGGTTCAAATCGGCGGTGTTGGAGGTGGTTCAGATCGGTGGTTGTTCAAATCTTGGCGGTCGACGGTGTCCGACAATGATTCACATCGGTGGTAGTCGCCGTTGGTCGGCAGTGGTTCAGATCGGTGGTGGTCCATGGTGCTTCATGTGGCTGTGGTCGGATGTGGTTTAGATCAGGGGTGGTTCAGATCAGTGTTGGTCGGTTGTGGTTTAGATCGGCGATGGCCGGCGGTGATTCAGATTGGTAGTAGTTGGCGGTGGTTCAGATCGGTGGTGGTCTATGATGGTGGCAGTGATTGGCGATGGTTCAAATGAAAGTGATTGGCCGGAGGTGATCCAAACCGACGGTGGTCGGTGGTTCAGATCCGTGGTAGTTGGCGGTGGTGGTCGACGGTGATTCAGATCGACGATGGTTGAAGGTGGTCAACGATGGTCATATTGTGTTTTATGATATTGAGGTATATTGGGTTAAGGGTATATTTAATATTATGAAAATAGAGAATTCCATTCCATCAGAATACCATCTAGTTGCTAAGGAATGTTAAATTCCTTTATTTGTGGAATTTGTAGGATTTTGAAGACTCCTTTCGTGAAAAAGAATGAACCAAAGAAGGGAATGAAATTTGGTCAATGGAATTAAACATTCCAATTCCATCGGATTCCTTCAGAATCTGCAAACCAAATGCCCCCTCAGCCTCCCCCTCTCCCCTCACATTTCCTGTGTTATTCTAGTGCCTTTGACATCCATAATCATGGCTCTCTCAAAGTCCAATATTGGATGACCTATGCATGTTCTGCTCTTGCTCCCACTACCCTTTGTCCAATAATCATTGAACACTGGCACAAGCTTTCTGATTCTCAGCTGCTTCACCATCAGTGTAAGCACTTAATGGATCCAGTTTTATCTGCACAAACTTGTGTTTAACTCATTAGAGGTCAATTTACCTTAAACATCATTGTCTCATCCCTTCTTCAGGCTACTTTGAAGTTACTACTTAGGAAATTCTGTTATGAGTGTTGTTTTGATCCCTTTGCTTGTTGGCAAATTGTTGTAGTAACTTGGCGAATGTTATTTCCTAACCTAGTTTCGATCTAGCTGCTTTGATAAGACTTGCTTGTTATTTGATTTTAGTGGTCATCTAGAAATAGCTTACGGTTTTGCAGACACTAATGCAACTTGCTTTGTTATTTGATTTTAGTGGTCATCTAGAAATAGCTTATGGTTTTACAGACACTAATGCAATCAGAACGTGTTGTTTTCGTTATGAGTCCTAACGAAATCAAAAGAGGTGGTTGTGCTTAAAGCACCAACATAACCAAAAATCAAAGAAGCTTGGTGTTCTTGCAATCTTTAGTGAAACTGTATGAGTGTCTTACAAGCCCTAGCATTTCAAAATCAAAAGCGACGACAAAATTAGAGGCATTTTGTGAGCCTAGAGTTTGCCTTTTCTCAGGGCCTAGCAAAATAAAAAACGTGTTGTGTTCTGGTAAGCCTTAGCACAATCCAAACACAAGAAATGCATTACTTATGCATATCCTAGGAGAAGATAATCAAGTTCAAATGTGGTAGCTAAAAGTTCAAACCATACAAAGAATTCAATATTTGTATAACCTAGTTCAATATTTAGCTTCAAGTATTGCTCTGTTTTCTTCATGTTGTGATTGTGTTTCTATGTTATCTCAATGATGATTGTTCTACAATCAAAGATATATCATGGCGCTCACAATCTTTCCTATATTAATATCGAAAAATTACATACCACTATGCTTGAATCATTTACAGGAACGGACACTAGATCAGCCATGGAGGAGTTGCTGCACAAAATCGTGAAAAACAAAAATCCACGAAAAATGTCGCCATTTGTGTTGGGAAGAGAAAACAAGGGTCCGACAGGAGAGAGCACCAATCCAGGGCCATTAGAAAAAAGATAAAAGGGATAAAGAACCAGGCAACAACACATCAATGGAAGAGGTGAGGGAAACTAGTAGCAGTAGAGGATGTTGGTGACAGAACGAGCGGAAAGAAGGAAGATTACAGTGAAGGTGATGGTGTTAAGTCGAACAGCCTAAGGTCTCCGTGACTAGAGGGAAGAGTTGCATGGAGCCACGAAAGATGATGAAAAGCATCAATGATAGGCAGCAAGGCAGAAACTATGTATAATGACCATGAACTGCTGTGACTGGTGAAAGAAAAAGCATAAGAGAGAGGAGAGTTGTTAGCAACTGGTAGCAGATAGAAAACAACACGTGGATGGACCGCTGAATGAAAGAAGAGGACCTAATGAATGAGATGGACCTGCTTCTGGTGAGGAAAGAGTCTGGAATGCAACAAGGAGAGGAGGTCATCAGAGTTGGCCTCATATAAGAAACCATCAGCCACATTTTGGAGATGAACTGGGGCTGGAAAATCAGCAGCTTTTTGGGATTGCCTTGAGGGTTTTGGGCCTGCTATAGGGCCTCACCATGATCCACAAGAAAGGGAGATAGAAGGGAGAAAGTGGGATCTTGAAATCAAAGTGTATTGATCGGGACAATTTTTTGACCTTCCAAACAGGAGAAGACGACCAAATGAACGGGATGGACCTGCTCTGGTGAGGAACGAGTCTGGGAGTCATCAGAGTTGGCCATATAAGAGATCATGGGTCTCATTTGGGGATGAATTGGATCTAGGAAACCAGCAACTTTATGGATTGCTTTTGGAGTTTTGGGCATGCCCTAAGGGCCTCACCATGATAACAAGAAAAGGGATATATGATCAATGGACATTGATCGGTACAAAAAGTTTGACCTTCGACCTCGAGGACAAGGTCTCTTTTGCACTAATAACTATCAAGGTTAATTAGTTAACATAGTAACTCAAGTGTTTCCATTATAAATAGGCTCCATTCTAGAAAGTAACTAGGGGATATATTTACATTGGTATCATATTGATTATATTATTACCATAATCAAATAGCTCTACATATAGGAGATTGGTAGAGATAAGAAGGCATGCTCAAATTGATAACAGTTGCAAATTGGCTTAAGCATCTTGGGAGAGAGAGTCTATCTCTCAAAAGTAGATAGCTTTGTATTTCTTTGTTGTTTATCAATAAAATCGTTGTCAGGTTCTCATACCCCTAGTCTTCAAACTAGATTAGATAAGTATACATGAATCGATGTCAGCTTACTGCATACCTAGATATATAAACCTTGGACCCAAATCAAGGATACGCTACAGCAGCTAAGAAACTCATAACCATGGTCAATAGAAAAATGCATCTGGAATAATATAGAAGCATGAGCACAGTTGAAGCAAGTTAAACTTCTACCAGAAACGAATCAATGAAGTCATGATTTGCAGTCTACTTGATCTGAAAGCAGGGCTTAATTATATTCAACATTTGTACATTGCCCAAAAAGTGGTATTCAAGTAATTTGCCATATCGCCCAGTATCATTCAACTCTCTCTCTCTCTCTCTCTCTCAAAACTCTTAAGCAATCTTGGTTGCATATATCTTGTAAGAGTCAATTATGCCCTTCACATTGCAGTACGCCAGGCCAAGAAACCCATCTCCCAATTCCCATGAGCAGGAACTTGGAGCACAGCGGACTTCTTTATATTCTGACACACACACAAAGAGTTGTACACAGCTACACGCACATGCGACTTCTCCTAGTTATGACATCTGTTCTTTATCATTTTAGGTTTAAAGTTGCTCTATACCATTTTAGAAGAGTGTCAAATGCAGAGATAACATGACAATTTTGCAGACCATCTACTCGTTCAACTTTCCAGAAACTAGAAAACAAATAGACATCAGCCTTGGCTAGTTCACGAAATCCGACTAATCCTGGTGTCCTTTCAAGCATGGTCAATATAATACATGTTCACTTTTCTTGAACTAACTTGCCCAAAGAGTAATTAGAAGATACAACTTACCCCATAGAAGAATCAAAGACTCCATGTTGTAGATAAACCGCCTTTTTGGCATCACGCCTACAGCAAGGAGAGAATAATTAGCCAAGGTAAATTTCAGTGCAAACATCAGTAAAACAAGAAGTAAAATTAGAAAGTGAATGCAAGGATTATTTCTACCTTGGAATTCGCTCCAAAAGAAGAACATACCCATCAGCAGTAACCACATTAATAGCTTCATAAGGGTACCTGAAAAGTAATGTTTCAGGTATGTGGTGTGCATAAATGCAAGTTCAAGTATACTAGAACAAATGATGCTTTTAGTCGCCCAATATGAGATTCTCAAGTTCTTAGGGCTCCCAAGTTCAAGTTGACAACATGGTAACTCCCTCCATCCAAAAAAATGTAATGATGTACTTGACACATGATGTCAGAGTCTTCGACTAGCAATTAAATGCCTAAAATGCCCCAAAAGATAGAGAGAAGTCATAGACCAAAGTTGATGTCACTAATAATTTGCAAAGATTAGTAATCGGCAAAGAAGTGGAATCTTGCTCAAAAGAGAAATTTCACAGTTTTTTGGCATCATCAGAAAAAAAAATCGTTGCATTTATTTAGGGACCAAGGATAGACAAGAAAACAATCTCATGTTCAAAATTCGTAAAATAATTTATGGTGAACTCTTTCTAACTTTTTCAATTTATTACTTATTCCTAGAGGATCAGAAATTATAAGCAGCCCTCAATATAAAAAATATATAAAAGTAAAGCTCTTACCCAAGCTCTGTAATGACATCTTGACATGTCCGCGCATCGGTATTCAAGGAATTATGCAATCTGGTTTTCCTTTCTGTTGGAGTGGGGTTGTCCTCATCAAGAGTGGCAGTGGCAACATAGGCAACTGAATCATCAGGGTGAACATCCCCTAAAACACCTGGAGAAGACCACCTCAAAAATGCCCCGAGAGAGTCCATTGGAGAGATAAAACAAGATGCTACCTTGTGAATAGCATCAAATATGGTTTCTATAAAAATCTCCATTCCAAGCTGTAAATCCTGAAATTACAGAAATACCCAAATAGAAATGAAGTTGTGATGCTACAACATTATTTTTTCATAAATAGTGGTAGCTAAGCATTAAAAATACAAGCAAACCTCTATAACTCCACGTCTTCTGTCGGTAGCCCGTTCAACGACGTGATCCAATGCTTTCCTGCCAGCATGCACATGTGAAGCCTGTACTCTTCCTGGGGTGCTAGCAGATCCCTTTAAGCCTCTACTAAAAAACATGCTATACAGATATATTGGTATCCCAAGCATTAGCCTTGCAGGAAGCAGAATCCACAAAATTATGGATAAAATCCAATGTGCCGAGTTCTTTTCACGCTTGGTGAAGCTGCTTGCCCGGGAGAATCGAGAACTTTGTGATGATGGAGATGCAGGAGATATGTAATCATCATCATCATCATCGTCTACTTCTTCTCCAGATGAATAATCTACACTTGATGCTGAATCAGACTCCATGGATAGTTCGTGAACAAATTGGTTAAACGAAGACACCCCACTACCAAAAAATATGGTTGGCATGTCAATAGGTAAAATGATGTGAAGAGAGATCACGAAAACAAATTGTTCAGAATGTAATAACTAAAGTGGGAAGTAGTTCTGTAACTACAGAAGTTTATTTTGAACATTAATTGTGGGCATCATAAAAAAGGATGATTGGATGTAAAAGATGACCAAGTTAAGCTCACAAAAAGATCAATACAACTATATTTACCCAAGCATGCTACAAGTGGCAATAAAAATTACATGGAAGAAAGTATAAAGAAAAGTCAAAATGCCACTATATTTGAAATCTTCACATGAATGAAATGGAGGGGGATCTTCGCACGTATGTGTTATGCATACACTAATGATAAGTAAAATATTCAAATCACTGGATGGAACCTAAAACATGATAAACCACTAATTTAAAGAATTAATCCACATTATACGTTAAATAGAAACAACATGCTGCCTCCTATTCACCATATCGAATTAAAGAGCACGTATCAAGGCCGAATAAAACAAAGAAATACTTACTTCTCCATCCAGCGCGGAAGCCGAGGTCCACGAAAAGATGGTCTGAGCTCCCAACCATGAATCCCTTCGAGGAGGTTAGTTTTGCCAGGCAATATAGCCAACAACAATGCTGATAATCCATTTATCAGCCTCAAAATATTACTCAACGACTCATAAGTAATCGTTTTTACAGACCTGAAGAATACATGAGATCTTTAGAACAATGACTCGTAGCACACAGCTTGAAGCAAATTATGAAAACAAAATTTCACACAATCCGAACAGCAAAACTTTCATTTCTGTCTTCCCAAAATTTGTTTACTAGATGAAATGCCACAAAAGCTAAAAGTCAAATACCAACATACATAGCTGCACATTAAAAAGACAACCTTTCACAATTTTGGAACATATTCTGATTGTGAGATTATCCAACATCATTTTGCAATTAATTCCATGTTTATAATCACACTGAACTCCAAACCAGATTGTTCTTGGCCATGAAGCTTATAGAAAAATTCAAACAAACAGCCTCAAAGAAGTTTTGCAGATTTCTTCACAAGTAGACATTATAAAAGATTATAGTCTTTCCTACAGTATCCACCGCGTCTTAATCTGGATAAATTGATCCTAACTAAGCTAATATGCCCATCACCAGATACCATATTTATCATTATTCCCAATCAGCCATCCTAGCCACATAACGAGTAATTGATTCCAAGATTCCAAATTACAATTTAAAGAAGAAAAAAAAAACCTAACATAACTTTGAAAAAATATCTGATGATGTGATCCTTCCCCAACAGAAACTCAAAAATAAACCATCAGTCAAAAACGATCAATTCATATATATCGCATCCCTTCAAATATCATGAGCATCCATTTTTGTTTTTCTTCTAAGTAATCATCAAACCCTCAATTTAGCACAACACCAAACTCCATCGTCAAATAAACTTACAAATTAGGCGATCATACAGCGAACGGTTATCTAGATCAGTATTATAACATTAACACCCACATAAAAATTCGCACATAAGCACACATAAACTATTGGTTTTCTAATACGAAAGAGAGAGATAGAGAGACTAACTCTTTGGTGACAGCAAGGAAGTTGTCAACGACGCGTTGGATCATTTGTGTTTGTGTGTGTGTGTGTGTGTGTGTGTTATATTAGACTTGTTGGCTCTGGGTAGTGCAAAACAGCATCAAAACCCAGATCCAAAAGGGACTGAAAACCCTGATAATTTGGATTTGGTATTCGATTTTTAGAGAGAGAAAGTATAATTTTAGAGAGAGAGAGAGATGAACGATAAAGGTGGGAGGAGGTGTGCATATACGCAACGGCGATTCTTGTCGTCCCAGGGAAGGGAAAGCCGATGGTGGGGTCCACACGGGCAATAGAAAATAATAGAAGCCTAATCCGTATGACGTGGCAGTCAGAGAAGCTGTGGCTGTTATGCGAGTGCCACGTATTAATGCGTCGACACCGGTCAAACTAATTCTACGAAAACGTGGAATCTGGAGGTAACTACAAAAACAGCATTTTTTTTTGTTATTATTTTATTTCATTTCGAGTAAATTACCACATGAAATGAAACGCCCATTTAATTTATTAAAATATATTATTTTTTTTTATTAACCTGGATATTCAACCTGCTATGTGAGCCGACTAATCCCAAAACGACTACATACTTTGCAAATAGCCTGAAGTCACTGCATTTGAACCTACGTGGCCGCTAGGGGATTTTTATTTCCCCTTAAACTTGAACCTGAATTATTTATTTGTTATATTAAAAATTTGTCACAAAATGTCTAATTTTTTTTAAAATAATTAATATTAATTAATTAAAATTGGTGTTATTAGGCCTTAATAAGTCATAAATGGTCTTACTGGGCTATAATAGTTATTAATCGACTATAGTGGGTCTTAGTGATCTTATTGATTTCAATTCACACCTCAGATGCATACATGCAATACGTACATGCATACAAATATACAATAAGTCATCATTGGTGTTATTTGTAACATTCAATTTCTAATATGCCTAAATTATTTGCTAAGTATATTTAATTTTGGGTTAAAGAGAATCTAAGATTTAGTGGGAGTTGGGTTTGAAATTTTTGAATTATATTTCTTAAGAATATATTAGAGGATTTGGAAAATATCACGTCAAATAGATACGTAAAATGGATTTTTTGGGAGATCTTTTCTGGAACATTTTTATTGTATGTTATAGATTATCTCTTTATAAACGTGTAGGCGAAAACCTCATAGAAAACGGAGGTCCGAGCGAAAAGTTATGAATAATTTAAGTGTTGATGGTCAAAATGGGTACCTAGCCGGGCCAACCCGGCCCAACTCGAGTTTTAGCATTATAAATTAGAGTTTTGGCCCATTTTTCTTGTCATTTAAGTCCAGAACTCACACATACATTAGAGGTGCGATTTTCACACACATAGGCTTAATTCAACTCAAATCAAAGAGGAACTACAAGATCTTTGAAGAATTTGATCATCAAGTAAGRTATAATATATTTTTGCACTTGTTTTTGGTTGACATTCTTGTTATATGGATTGCATGTTGAGTTAGAGTTAGGGTTTCATATGGGTTTGATCTTAAGTGTATAAAATGAGTGCATTTTAGTGTTTATGGCATGAAATGGTCATTAGATTCAAGAGATTATCAAGATTTATGCAAGTTCATTATATGAACTTTGACTTGATTAAGTCAATGATTTGGAAGATAATATTGTTAGTCCCGAAGGGTAAGGCAATAAACAGAAAGTAATTGTAGAAGGGGGGGTTGAATACAATTACACAGATTTTTTTTAACTTTTTAATTCTTATTGATTTATATCAAGAATTAATACACACAGAAAAACAAAAGATTGTTGCGGAAGATAGGAAAGGAAAACCTAACCTAAA